CTAACCTTCTCAATGGGATGTAAGCTTTAGATGGGTAGGGTCCTAGTTCTCTTGTTCACTGCTATATTCCTAGAGATTAGCACTTGTGAACTATATTGCAGGCTTTCAACAAATATGACATTCAACATAAATAATGCCACAATTACAAGCAAACACCCATTTCAATTCTATATTCTATCAAGGACCTGAAAGCCAGGCTACAGGCTACTTCTTTTTTCCCACGCCGCAAGGTAACAGATCCTTAAATTGTAAAAAAAATAAAAAAAAAATCCAAAGAAAAGGGACACAAAGTAGGAGATGCAAAAACTGACAACAGTGCTTAAGCCAGATGCCAGATATGGGCCACCATTTAAGACTGAACGGAGCGGGTTGGAATGGGCGGGTGGTTAGCCCAGCTGTTAAGACACCTGCATCCCACATCAGAATGCCTGGGTGTAGTGCAGCTTCCTGCCAATGCAGGCCTTGGAAGGGCGGGGTGATGGCCTAAGTCTCTGAGCTCCTGCCACCCACCCCCAGGGGAGAGCCGGATTTATTTCCCAGCTCCCAGCTGTGGCCTGAGCCAGCCCAGTTCCGGCTGAGGCAGGCACTGAGAGTAAAGGAGATCTTTCTTTTTGTGTCTGTCTCTCAAATAAAATCTTAAAATAAATGTATTCTGAATTAATCATTGCAAGTCACACTCAGGGGAAAGTGTGCCCATCTTTTAAAGTAGAGAATGCAGGCATCATTGTTTTTCAACCAGGCTGATTCAAATGTGCCTCTGACCCACTCCATTCAAGCTATAGGAACCTTCTTGGTTTCTAAATACCTTTTTTGAAATACACAGACCATTCAAACCATTGACATATCTTTGGTTTATCAGGTCTATTTGGATTGTTTTTAATTTAACACCCAGAATGTTCAATTACATTCAATCCAAGTAGAAAATTTTAAATACAGTATACAACTTGTAGGTAACAAGTAGCACAAAAAGATGATCTGTATTAAGATCAGCAAACAATACCAGGTTTTTCACACATTAGCTCAATTGTAAGCCTCCCTTGAGGTATTATATTACAATTTACATAACAATAACCTCTCTGTAGTTCAGAGAGGTTAAGTGACTTGGGTCAAAGTCACACAATTAATAATGACCAGGTGTTTTGTGTAGGAGTCCTGAGTTTTCCATAATCCCATAGCTCTCATGAGTTATGGGAATGAGCTCTCCAAACAGTCCCAGGCCAGGTGGAAAAAACAGTTTACCGTAGGTGTTACCCAAACACGTATACACATGCCACTCTAGTCCTCCCTCCCAAATATGAAGCCAAATAGATGGCCATACTTTTAAGAGTGAGTGATCTGACCAGATCAGGCTAAATTTACTCTTGGACGATGGTCAATGTCCAAGTTAGAAGTGTTTCGGAAGTTCCCAGACTCAACGGGAACATCTATCTATTTACAGACATGAAGGTCAAATTGTTTAAGCTTTCGGTTTCTTACCAGCCCGTGGGTCACAGAAGGCCGGTAAAAGCATTTGGGCTGGCCTCGCCAAGACAGTGCAGGAGGGACACAAAATTCAATGCATCCGCAGCAGGTTCACTTTTTTTTTTTTTTAATTTTTTTTGACAGGTAGAGTTATAGACAGTAAGAGGGAGAGACAGAGAGAAAGGTCTTCCTTCCGTTGGTTCACCCCCCAAATGGCCGCTATGGCTGGCGCTGCGCCGACCTGAAGCCAGGAGCCAGGTGCTTTTTCCTGGTCTCCCATGTGGGTGCAGGTGCCCAGGCACTTGGGCCATCCTCCACTGCCTTCCCGAACCACAGCAGAGAGCTGGAATGGAAGAGGACCAATCGGGACTAGAACCCGGTGCCCATATGGGGTGCTGGCACCACAAGGCGGAGGATTAACCAAGTGAGCCATGGTGCCAGCCCCCATCACTTTTAAGTTGTTCATTTTTATGGCCCTCCTTAGAAAAAAGGCTCCAGGCCCCGCAAGAGGCTCTGGTTGCCATATTCCACATCTTCTTGCTCTCACATCCTTCTTCAGACACCCCCCGACCCCTTCCTCTAGCCCCCACTGGTCTTAGCTCTGCAGGCAAAGGCCGTGCCCAAGTTCTACTCTATCAAATCCAAAGTAAAGCAGTGTGCGACGCAGACCAGAAACATCAAAACCACTCTTCCTCTTGCAGGCTACACAGGACAGATGCGGTCCCCCACCCCCAGCACTAACTCCACTGAGGAGGAAGTTGGCAGAGAGCCTGCGACTGCTCGCTAAAGGAAAAGGAACTTGCTTTGCGTCCGGGGCCGTCTTCACCAGTGGTAGCCACCACTCGGGGCTACTTCTCAGCCTTGAATCCCCACAGGTGCAGACCGGCACAGGACCAAAGGCCGCTGAACACCTTCCGGCTCACAGCCCATTCCTGGGCTTCGGATTCTCTAGCCTCAACGCCTGTGCTCAGAAGATCATTCCAGCTTTACCTGTTCTATTTCCAGACCTGGGCTCTCTGCCGTCTTCACTCCACCCCTCCCAAGCTGACTCCTCTCCTTCCCTGAACCAAAAATAAATAAATAACTAAGACTTCTCGAACCCCACCCTACTGGGCTAGGTCTGCATCTGCAACCCACTACACGCGCGCACGAGCGCAAGAGCTCAAGTTCAAGTTTCCGGCAGGTTCATCGCCCCTTCCCGGGCACTGGACGTCTCGGCCACCGCCCTGGCTCCGCCCCTCGTGTTTGGGATCCTGCTCGCAGGTGGCCTGCCCCGCATCCTCCAGGTATCTCCGCCGGCGTCAGACTCCCAGCCCCTGCGATGCCCGCAGCTCCCAGATCCACAGCTCCTGCCTCCGACTCCCGCCCCCCTCAGACGCACGCCCCTCACCTGGATCCGCCTCGCCGCGCCGATCCGCGTTTGCTGCACGAAGGGGTTGGGCACTGGCGGCGGGAAGAAGGACGCCTGGCGGGGCACCATGGGTGGCCGCAGCCCCGCCTCCCCGGCGCCCGGCACGGTGGCCGCCACTGCTGCCGCCTCGGCGCACCGGTTCATGGTGGAACCGGCCGTCGGATCCGAGCAAAGCCACAGGGACAGAGCGCGCAAGGCAGAGTCCCAGCCCGAGGCTCCGCTCCGGGGCCTCTGCGCAGGCGCCGGTTACCTAGATGCCGGCAGCTGTCGCCCCGCCCCCAGGCTCTAGCTCCACCCTTTTACTTATCTGACTCCTCCTCCTCGGCTATATAGCTCCGCCCCCCTTGGAGGTGAATGCTTTTGCCTGGGACCAATGTCAAACTTAGCATCCCTAAGACTCCGAAGAGAGCCACTGAGGCCGTTCTCAGCTTTAGGACCAGGCAGACTGGATTTCCAATGCATTTTACTGGTTCTGCGATGCTAGCCAAGTGGCCATCTCCATGGACCTCCCCACCTCCTTTAGCAGATGGTAATAAACACAACTGGGATAAACACAGCTGGATCCAGCCACGCCAGGAGCATCCACTCCCCCTGAATTCCTGCATCCTGGATTCGTGTTACCAGTGCTTGATTTCAAGTGTGCTTTGTCAGGGAGCAAACCAGTTCGAGCTGGGTGTGCATTGTTTAGGAGTGGGAGTCCTCATATAGAAACTGGTGCAGGAGTGGGATCTGTCCCCCTCAAAACCTATGGACCGACGGGGGCGCACAGAGGCGCTTGAGCTGCTGTTCCAAGAAGGCAGACCAACAGCTGTGAGGAACCTGGCCCAAAAAAGGGAAGCGACTGTGGCGGGGGCTCCATTGCAGCCGGAGGAAGTCAGGGGCTTGTCTGGACCTACACAGATGGCAGAGGGGGGAGGGGCGCAGGAGCGGACCTGCCCAGAGTGAAAGGACAGGGAACAATCTGTCAGCAGGCAAGTGGCCAGGATGACAATCTGAGGCTGGAGCCTAAGACGGCTGCTCCCCCAAACTTACCCATCGCAGAATCTCCCAACCCTCCTGGACAGATGGGTGGTCTTGAGTTAAGTCTCTGAACCCCTCCGAGGAACGGCAGATTACCCCCTACACCATAGGGTTGTCGGGAGGAGTAAATAAACTAACACATGCACAGTGTAGAAAAGCACTCGACACGGCACCTTTTAATTCTCCTAACAGAGAACCTCAATAATATAATAATATTGTAGTCAGGATGGAAGCTTCCAGTCGGGGCTGGCAGACCATGCAGAAAGGCTGTCACTCAAGAACTTGAGCCGGTGGGCAGGCCAGCAGGCGAGAGAAGGCGATTGGGGACCCCACCAAAGTCACCTCCAGAGAGACGTGTCCATTCCTCACTCCTGTCTCCACCAGCCTCACCAGGAGGGGCCTGAGGCAACAGGCTATGCAACCTCAGAGCTGGCAGGGGTCTCTGAAAACCAACCACCCCCAGGCCTGGAGCAGCCCCTGCAGGATTTCCGTACGGGAGGGGATCAGAAGTGGGTAGTCTGGGAGGAAGGAGCAGGCGCTCACCCGCTCAGAGTGGCTGTTTACAAAGCAAGCACACTGTTTCTCCCCTGGGTGTGTCTATTGCGGGTGGCTGGGGCACGGCGGGGATGTGTTGCTGATGGAGGTTCTGGAGTACGTGGCTCCTCCTCTAGGTCATCCTTTGCCCTTGACCTAGACCCTGTCACCTAATAGCTGTAGGATCCTGAGCAAATCACTTCTCTCTGGGTCTCGCTAAGGCTCAGCTCGTACCCACCTCTTTCGGTGGCTGTACTGGCGGTGGCTGTTGTTAGCAGCAGCAGCGTAAGAACTGGTGTTGTGGAGGAAGAAACTGAGTCAGAGAGAAAGCAGAACTTGGGCAGTCACAGAACTGCTGCTGTCTTAGGGCTCCAGGGCTCGCTCAATCGTAAGGGACAAAAGGGACTCGGGCCAACACACCTGCACCTGTGGCTCCCTTGCTATTTAGCTTGGCAGCTCTGACCTTCTAGCAAGCATCACTTGTGTCCTGCAGGAAGCAGAGTCGGACGTTGTAAGTTTCTTCTTTGTGGGGCTATGGCAGCTCTTGGCTAACACGGATGCAAACACTGCCACTCAGCTGGTGTCTTTATTCACACCTGTTGACATTTCCCACGGGGAACGGTTGAAGGGACAGTGGGGAGGGCGGAGCAGGGAGCCATGACTGGATTTTCCTCCATCCAGTGGAGGCAGCGACTGGGCAGAGTGAACAAGGGAGCTTCGCTAGGCGGGCTGCGCTGCACCGTGCAGTGACTTCAGATGACCTGAGTCCTTGTGTCAGGAAATGCAGTTTCCAAGTGGAAAAATAAACAACAAAGTGCATACAAAGCAAACTGCTAACGCAGGGGAGGCTCTAAGGCAGCCAGCAGTGAGAAGCCAGGTGTCTGGGGTGGCCACCTGGCCGTGCCCTTATCCCACTGCCCCATGCCAGGCTGTCGGGCCACCAGTGCCCTGCTGAGATAGTCCCTGTTGGCTCCGAGGGTGCCGTGAGCCACCGAAGGATGTGGAGGGAGATGAGTCTCAAGTGTGGCAGCACCAGGGCAGCCCAAGGCAGGGCCGCATTGTAAAGACCAAAGTATCTCTTTGGGGGTGGCTCTGAGGGTTGACGGGATTGGAGGGGAAGGGGCACCGGGGAGGGAAACAGCCAGCACCTTTCCTTGGGCACAGGGTAGAGCCGCTCTCTGGAATCTTAGATTATCAGGTGGGGGTGAGAAGGCTGATTAACTACGGAAGTGCAGGTGCGGCGGCCAGGCCCCCGGGCCCGGCTCAGCAGCCCAGCCAGTCCGTCTTGATGCTTCCAACCTTCACGCTCTTCAGACTTTGGTTCTCGAGCTTCAGGTAATAAGTGCCCTTGAAGAAGTAGCTGTGACCTGAACACAGAAAGGAGAGAGTCTGTGACCACCCCATACCGACAGAGGGGAGGGGGCACAGAAGGTTCTAGAATGTCTGTCTGGTGTAAGCAAGAAGCCTTTAAACCGGAAGAGACCCTTCCAGGGTTCGAGGAAAGGAAATGGTGTGGAAGGAAGGCCTCTCGGTCCCTGCGTGCGCACCTCTAACTGGGAGCTAACTTAGCGCTGGTATTGACTGTAATGACAGCGGCCTCCGGTCACACCGGCATCAGAGTAAACACTTTCCATGTCCCAGAGATGGCAAACCAGAAGGCTGCCGGCCCTCCGGGGCCCACAGATGGCTTTTACTTGGTTCACACACTTTGTTTTGTCTTTTAATTCTGATTAAGCTGCCAATATGTAAACAGCTACAAAATCACATGAAACAAGGGTTTCTGGCTTCTTTTAAACATTAACTAGAGTATCTCACAACCCTGGGCCCCGATCCTTACAGGCCAGCAACTAGGAAACAGAGGCCCCCTGCAAATGAGCCATGCGCTCTCTGGGTCACCACAGATGCCACCACTCCCTACCGCCTGCTTTCCTCACTAGTGCTGCCCGCCCGGCCTGTGGAGGCTTTGCCATGTGCGACTCCCGACTCACATGGTCCCACTGACTTCTTTGAAAGCCCTGGTACCCAGATGTTTATCCTTGAACGTAATCCTTAACCTCGCACCTGACTGTGCATTGCTTTCTCTTGCACAGGTGAGATCTGGAGCCACGGGAGCTTTGGACTATGTGCGTGCCCTATGGCAGGGCCTCAAAAAACCTTTGTGGCATTGAGCTGACATCTCTTGTAAACAGCTGAACTCGACTCATTTCCAGGGCCCTGGAGAGCTCACAGAGCCCTCCTTGGGAACACGGTTTCCGACTGCCCCTCCCAGCCTTGTTGACACTGGATGCGCTTCGTTCACCAAGGGATCAGGGAGCACCAGTCGGGTGGGGGATTCCTGGCAAGTGATCAGGATAGAGTGGCTTGCATAGCACAGCGCATCCTTCTGCTAACGGGTGCCCTCCGGCAAAAAGCAAAGGAGCCAGGATCAGACCCCAGCATGGAGCGAGGGCACGGGCCCATGCTCCCCGCCCCCTTGTCAGGGCCCCTCCCCTCCCGGCCCTGGCTCCGGGCCCTGCAGCTGTGAGGGGCCCTGCTGCCCAGGAGCCCGGCAGAGGGAGCAGAGGTCGGGGGTCTGGACTCCTGCCCAGCACTGGCTGAAGGGCTTGGTTTGTTTCCCCGGGCCGCGGCATGGCTGCCCTGCACAATGAGGGCGTGTGTGCTTTGCGAGGGTCTGTGGCCAGGCTCGGCGCAGGGGTCCTAGAGAGCAGGGAGGGGCTTGGCTGCTTACCGCTGCCCTGCAGGTCCACCACAGCATCCAGGTGATCGGGGATGGCGTTCCAGGCATCCGCGATGAGCCGAGGGAAGCCAGGGTCCATCTTCTTCTTCACCTCATTGTATCTGTAACAAACCGGACATGCTGAGCCAGCCAGGCCTCTCCGTGGGCCAGGCGGCCCCCACCTCAGTCCTTCAGGGAGGCAGCCAGCGGTCACGGGAGGACAGGGAGTCAGACCTGGATCTGAATCCCAACTCCACTTACTGATGTCATGACTTTGGACGATGCCATAAAAACAATGTTAACACAGCTTTTAACACTGACCACACACTGGCTGGTGTGTCAATCACTGTCCATACACCTTCTCACTCAATCCTGTCAACAGTCTAATGACAGTTACCACTGTCATCCTCATCTCACAGACCAGAGACTTACAAAGCACTCCCGGCTTCTAAGTGGTAGTCCAAGCCAGACCTGTCTGGCTCCAGGGCTGTAAGTTGCTCTTGAAACCTCAATTGTACCAGCTGTAAAATGGGATTGTATTTAATATAACGCATGTAAAATAGGGTCTAGCCTGTGTGTGGTCTTTAAGAAGCATTTGGGAAATGCTAGTTTCCTTCCCAACTCTGACCCCTGCTGTATTCTGAGGAGCCCTGGATCAGGAGCCCCAAGGCCGGGGACCTGCTCCACGGGTCTTGGACTCCGTCACTTAGATCTGCTCCTTCATCTATCAAGCAGAACCGACAGTCACGTCCTGGGAGACGACCGCGCTCGCAGAGTGAGGTTACAGTGCGGGAGGTGGCTGTGAGCCCAAAGCCTATGTGTCACAGGGCGTCGCAGCTGCAGCTGTCAGGGTGCACAGCCACTCGGGGCCCCACCTTCAATGCCGGTGAATACCTGGGGCACCCGCTGGCAGCTTCTTCTCCTTGGCCAGCTCTGCCTCTGTCTTTTCGACTTTCTGAAAAACGTTTTTAATGAATGCTGCTGTCATTTTGATTTCTGCACCACTCCACTTAAACTCAATGGACTCACTGTTCTGCAAATACTTAACGAGCGCCCAGTGTGGACCTGCCAAGTTCAAGTTTCCGAGGCGCTGATTTTCTGGACAGATCTGTGTTTGAATTCCATCTTGGTGGCTCCGAGCCTTCCTCGACAGTGCTGCTAGCTGGCTCTCTGCTTCTCTACGGAAGCCTCAGTTCTCCACGGAGTCTCACACCAGCCTCCCCTTCCATAGGCTCCTTCCACTGGGGTTCTATGCCTCTGCCCATCACCCCCAAGAACTGCCAGAGACCTTCCTGAATGCCGGCTACATCACAAGACTGTTTCTTGCAAAACCTAACATACTTCCTCGTGACCTGTGTTACCAAAGCCAAGTTCCCCAGCTCAGTGTCCACGCCCCCTCCCCCGACCTCTCGGTCCAGCCCCTACAGTCAGGATGGCTCAGATACAGGCGCCTCACGTTGGAACTCATCCCCATTTCTCATTCTGCTCCCACAAGGTGGAGAGTACAAGAATCAACCCCTCTGGGGCTAGGGTTTGGCGCAATGGTTGACATACTGCAGGGGGCACGGGCATCCCACATCACAGCGCCAGTTCCAGTCCTGTTTCTGCTTCTGGTTCCAACTTCCTGCTCTTCACACCCTGGGAGGCAGCAGGTGATGGCTCAACCCTGCCACCCATGTGGGAGAACCCGGATGAAGTGCCAGGCTCCCGGCTTTGGCCTGGCCCACCCCTGGCTGCTGTAGGCATTTTGGGGGAGTGAACCAGTGGATGGAAGATCTGCCTGACTTTGTCTCTCTGCCTTTCAAACAAATAAGTAAAAACGAAAACTAAAGAACCAACCCCACTTTTTGGCTGGAGAAACTGAGGTTCATGAACTAATTTGCTTCCAACATCTTTACGTCCAGGAGGAACTCAGCAGTGCAACATCATAGAGCTGGCTCTGCAGGGGCCACGGCCTTCACTCTCCTCCACCCCCATCATCCCCTGGTCAGAGCCCCACTCGCTGACGTACTGTTTTGAACAGGTTCCCTGTAACGCTTGGGACTTGTCTGCAGCTGTAGGAGACGCGGGGTGGGGCAGGTGTCAGGAACACACACACGTGGGTCCCAGCTTCCGCACAGCTGTATCTCGCTGCCACTCAAGCCTCGATTGCAACACTTGGAAAATGGGGCTAACAACCTGCCACTCTACGTGAGCAATGCAGGGGGCTTGCACAGGCTCAGGCCCACGACTGCCCGCATCAGTTCCCGCCTTCACTGTTTCATTCTCGTTCCTTCACAGTTCCCCAGCAGCCAGCCAAGTGCCTGGTGGACAGCGCACACAGAAGGCATATTTGTGGGTTGAGTGGAATCTGAGCTCTCCCTGGCACGCCGGCGGTAGCGGCTCACCATCTCTCTCCATACCACGACAGTGTCTCAAGCTCATAAACCCGCTCTCCTTGGGGGAGAGAGCCGTCTGCTGTGGCAGCCCTGCCCAGGGCCTGAGCCAGGCCCCTGCATCGTCCTGCCTCTTCTAAGGGCGTCTCTCGGAGAGTCCTGTGTAGGGCGGGCTGTCCCTCCTGGACCCTGCCTTGAAGACGAGGGCTCCTCACTAACATTAGGACTGAGAAGGACCTAACCGCCCAGAAACCCAGCGAGGCGCCGCCCGAGCTGGTGTGTGCCTGAGTGTGTCCCTGTATGTGTGCTTGTGCTTGTGCGTGTGTGTACTGCACTCACGTCCACACACGGACTCGTCTCTCCTGCATGTCTGCATCTGCAGAGCGCATGGCGAGAGCAGGACTGTGAACGTCTTTCTGACAGCGAGGTTCAAAGACGCCAGGGCTCTCCCAATCCGAGTGCCTGTCGCCAGCCATGTGAGACTGTGAGACTGGGGGGTTCGGGCCAGCCACCCTGAGTTGCCACTCGCAGTCCCCGCCTGTGCTGGGGAGGAGGCAAGCAGAGGGCCCTGTCTGTGGTTTCCTGGCTGACTGTTTGCTTTCTCGAGATAGCAATCAGCTGAGCTAGCCTAGAGCCTTAGCAAGAGGTCTGGAATTCCACCCTGCCACTGGCAGGCCCGGGACAGAAGCAGCGCCTGACTGCAGGGCAGCTGCTGGCGGGGGCGGGGAGCCGAGCGAAGGCGGAGAGGAGAGAGGCCTTGGGAAGGAAGCGAGCTTTTTCCAGGAGGGGCAGACAAAGGCATCAGGGCAGGGCGTGCCCTGTTAGTTACAGTTCTGGGTAGGGAGCAGACGCAGAGGCAGCCACTGAAGGAACTCAGGGCCACTATGAGGAAGGGGAGGGAAAGACCCCAAACGGTTTGTGCACCAATCACTCCTTCCCTGCGACAGACAACCCAGCGGGTACAGGGAAGGGGGCACTGCATTGGAAGACCCGGCCGAATCCAGGCTCTGTGCCAACACCTGTATCTATAAATAACTTAGAATAAGTTATTTCAATTAAAGTTGCAGTGAGTTATTAAAATATGCGATTTAATTTCTCCGGACCTTGGTTTCCTCACATGGACAGTGGGAAGAATTACGACCCAGCTTCTATGTGTGGGACGCCTCCTACAGATCGGGCCTGGACATCGCACCCCTAGGCACCTTGCCTCTGACCTTGGCCTCTCGGAACTGGACTCTTGCTTTTCGGTGACCTGGAGCACAGGGCCACCTGCACCTGCCAGTCTGTGTCCACAGCGACTGAGCCTGCGCAGGTGGACCAGAGGATGCCTACTGCTGCTTTGGGTACTGGCTCCTGTCTTTTTTTTTTTTTTTTTTTTGGCTCCTATCTTTGCATTTCACCCTCTGCCACCCCTGCCTCCTCTACTCCATCTCTTGAGACCCCTGTTACCCCAGATACAGTGCACGTGAAGACGGGCTTGTTCTCTGGGAGCCAGAATAACAGGGTTCAGATCCCAGCCTGTCACTACATGGCTGTGTCACTTCACGCTAGTTACTCAACCTTTCTGAACCCAAGTTTCTACATCTTAAAAACTGGGATAATAACAATCACGCCCATCTCCTAGAGCCCCGGGACTAGCTTCTGACTCATGAAGTCAGTCCTGGCAATTATTTTTATTTCTCTCTTTCTCAAGGAGTCACCCCAAAATGTGAACGTGGGCCAGATGGATATGGCTCGATCAAAAGACTTCTGAGAAGGTGGAGGGGTTGCAAGCACAACCATACAGCAGCAGTGGCTACCAGGCAGGGCCATGCTCTGGTGACTTTCTGCAGCCCCGGCAGGTTGGTGACCAGAGAGGGGGCCTCCGTGGCCCACCAACCTCTGAACCCGACCCTGGAGACCTGGCAGCTGCACCCTTGTCCTCACCTCCAGAACTTGTCTCCAGCAAAGATGTACGTCTTCTTGTTCTTGCTCCAGTTGAAGGCCGCGTCTACTCGCTGGACATCGGGGGGCAGCCCGAGGCTGGTCAGAGGCTTGGGGTACCCTCGCTCCAGGGTGCTGGCTGAATACACCCAGTATTCATTGCCTGCAGTGGAGGCAAAGGATGCGTCGGTCGGTGGCTGCTGCTGAAATCCCCGCTCCAGCCTGTCCCCCACACACCTGCCACCGCCCCGACCTGTGCCGCTCAGAGGCCCTCCCTGGGGCCGTCCTCAGCAGGGCACGGCTCTCAGCTCCCATCCGGGTCTGGTATCCAGAATCAGGTCCCACACACAGTTGATCAGAGAGGGTGCCAAGCCAATGCGGGGAGATCCAGCCCAGGCAAACGCCACACCTGCCATGAGGAGGCGCCTTGGCCTCATCTGCACAGGGTGTCCCGTGAGCCAGCAGCTGCCCGCCCAGGACCCTGGATCACCACCGGGGGGGGGGGGGGATGGAAGCTGCCTGGAAAACAAAAAACCCCAGCCCCAGGGGAACCCCCCGCAGCTTTGGAAAACCCCCCCTACCCCCCCCCCAAACACCTGTGACCCCCCCCGGGCCCCCTCATAGTCCACACTGCAGTCCCTGCTGACAGCCTGGCTGGCTGTCACCCCCAAGGTGCCTGTGAGCCACAGCAGGGCGCAGCCCAGCACATGGTAGACGCTCAAACACCAGCTATGTACCCTGCCTCGATGCCTTCCCACTTCCGGAGACTCATTCGACTCTCACTTACCTAATATTTTGCTTTCAATGAGTTCCTTTTGAAATCTTCTAGAAGGAAACTTATTTTTAAATATTTCTTTTGATTGTCTACCTCTCATTTACTGAATGATAAATTTCCTCCCTGGTGTGAAATGACCATGCAATCGTAACTAACTACCTCGCATAAAACAAGTTTCTGTTAAATACAAATGAAAATAGGGGCTGGTGTTATGGTGCAAAGGGCTAAGTTGCCACCTACAACACCAGCATCCTGTATCAGAGCGCCGGCTTGCGTCCTGACTGTTCCACTTCTGATCCAGCTCCCTGTCCAACGTGCCTGGAGAGGCAGCAAAAGATGGCCCAGGTCCTTGGGCCCCTGCCACCCACGTGGGAGACCCGGATGGAGCTCTGGACTCTGGCTTTAGCTCAGACCAGCCTTGGTTCATTGAGGCCATGTTGGGAGCACGCCAGCAGATAGAAGATCTCTCTCTCTCTCTCTCTCTGTCAGCTACCTTTTAAATACATAAAGAATTTTTTTAAATTTTCAAAAATAAAAATCAGTTTTAAAATTTCTCACTTAAGCTTGCTGCCTGTCAGAGACTGCAGCACTAACCAGGTGCAAGGGACGCGTGCACACGCATGACACTGATTTCGTTTCCCTTCTGGGACAGGACTCGGAAGGGCTGACGGAAGACTAACAAGAAGCCGAGGTTTGCACTGATGCCGAGTGCCAGAACCAGTCTCCCAGGTGACGCCCATGTTTGGGGGGCTGGGATCAGAGAATGGATGTGCCAAGAGGGAGCCCCCCCAGGGGCACGGGGCACGTGGTCTGAGGCGGGGTGGGGAGCCCCGGTGCGCCGTGGGACCCTCCCCGCACACCTGCAAAGAACACGGCCTTCTCCTCCTGGGGGGCCTCGTACACAGCGTCGATCTTCTCCGGGAGCTCAGGCCAGAAGGTGGCCACCAGCAGGGGTCCCATGGGCTTGTCACCCGGTGTCACCGTCCGCCAAATGAACCTGGGGCCAGACAGGGAGGTCGGAAGCCACGCCTTGCGTCACTCTGCAGCTCTAATCGCACACGCCCCTGAAGCCCACCCCAAACCATCCCAACGAGTGGAAATGAAATAAATCAAACCAAATCCAGTGGTAATTCCACAATGGGAGGGGAGGGGACATCGAATGAGGGTTGGAGAACGAGCAGAGTCCCCTCTACCTGTCAGGCTGAGAAGCGACCCCCTTTTGCTCTCCTCCCCACCTCCTCCAGGAAGACTTCCCTGACTACCTCTGTCCATACCCAGGCTTCTCGAAATCATCAACACTAAGTGCATGGAACAGCAAGGTTTGTTTGTATTTCCCTTCCTGTTCAATTAGAAGCCAACTCAGGCAGGAAACAGGGCCCCTAAGGTATTTCCTGAATTGAAATGGAATAGACAGATGCACTCTGGCAAGAGTAAGAGCGATTACTTATTTATTGATTGATTGATTGATTGATTTTTTGACAGGCAGAGTGGACAGTGAGAGAGAGACACAGGGAGAAAGGTCTTCCTGTTGCCGTTGGTTCACCCTCCAATGGCCGGCTCACCACGCTGATCCGATGGCAGGAGCCAGGTACTTACCCTGGTCTCCCATGCGGGTGCAGGGCCCAAGCACTTGGGCCATCCTCCACTGCACTCCTGGACCACAGCAGAGAGCTGGCCTGGAAGAGGGGCAACCGAGACAGAATCCGGCGCCCCAACTGGGACTAGAACCCGGTGTGCCGGCGCCACAAGGCAGAGGATTAGCCTACTGAGCCGCGGCGCCGGCCAAGAGTGATTACTTCTTGAGGCTGAGCACTTTCTGTGCCTTGTAATTTAATCTCACAGAGAATCCGTGCACTCTCAGTCTCTCTCCAGCATCGACTCCCGTTTCCTGGCGGCCTTCCTTCCACAGAGCCCCAACTCTTGCTCCATCCCTCCCCTCCCCAACCCCCACCCCGTGAGCCCAATCCCCGTCCTAGGAGTAGACCCCAATCAGTCCAAGCCACTGGTGCTCCAAGTGTGGTCCCCAAGCCAGCAGCATCAGCACCGCCTGCAGACTGGTTAAAAAGGCCGATTACAGGCTGGCGCCGCGGCTCAATAGGTTAATCCTCCGCCTTGCGGCGCCAGCACACCGGGTTCTAGTCCCGGTTGAGGCGCCGGATTCTGTCCTGGATGCCCCTCTTCCAGGCCAGCTCTCTGCTGTGGCCAGGGAGTGCAGTGGAGGATGGCCCAGGTCCTTGGGCCCTGCACCCACATGGCAGACCAGGAGAAGCACCTGGCTCCTGCCATCGGATCAGCGTGGTGCGCCGGCCACAGCAGCCATTGGAGGGTGAACCAATGGCAAAAGGAAGACATTTCTCCCTGTCTCTCTCTCTCACTATCCACTCTGCCTGTCAAAAAAAAATAAAAATAAAAATAAAAAGAAAGAAAGAAAGGCCGATTACTGAGTTCAACCTGGGGTCTACAGCTCAGCCTCTCTGAGCTCAGGGCCCCAAATCTGTGCTTTAATGAGCCTTCCAAATGATTCTAACACAGGAGAAAGTCTGAGAACTACTGCTTTGAGCCAATCGGAGCTTAGAATTCTCTGGTACCTGTTAACTGATTGAGCAGTTGCCATACGATTCCAGTTGGCATGATGAGATTGGAGCCAGCCTGGTGCATCACATCTGGGGAGCTGGGCAGGGGCAGAGGCTCCTCCCTCTCCCTCTCCCCCTCCCTCTCCTCCCACACCCCTCTCTGCGGGATGTGAACAGGGAAGCCTGTAGCCCCGGTTATCATCGGCAGCCATCGTGTGACCAAGAGGGGATCCGGTTTTGCAATGAAACCGATGCCAAGGCAAGATATGAAGTCACAAAGCCTCCTGTGCCCCTGGAAAGGGCCTTTCCTCCAGACTTTGTACCCTGCAAGAGCGACTTCTCTCCACCTTTTAAGCTGCTCGCGTTTTCTCTCGCTGCTTGCAGTGACACACTCTGGTACGGGAAACTGTCAAGATCTCCCTTTGGGCAAAGGAAGCTGACAGAGGCTAAGGCATTGCCAGGATTCCAATCCAGACCTGACTGCAACGTCCAGGTTGAATCATCCCGTGGCACTGTCCTTGTCCCGCCACAGCCTAACACCAAGTTGTGCACACCATCAGTGCTGAAATATTTACAGATTCCTCCGATGAGTGCATTAAACATTCATCAAAATCCCTTTGAAAGAAGTTGTGATATGGCAGGTGCCCGTTCTAGCTCCCCGCCTCACAGATCCGTGCACGTGGTCAAGGCTTCCTTCGTGGGAAGTGCTCCAGGCTAAACAGACTCCTGGGCAGTGGGGCCCCAGCTTACTTCTTCCTCATCTCCATATCAGGGCTGCGGGGCAGACTGACAGCTGTTATTACACAGCTTGATTTGAGCATTCCAGGCCCGATGGAACCTCACTTTTCCCGCGTTTTGACTCTCACCTCCCTCTGCACCCCTGCCATCACCCCATTGGCCAGCAGACCCCGTGAAGGGCAGGGCACCTGCACTCCACACCTGGAGCGGAGGAGGCCCCTCCCAAGTCCGTGGACTATCCTCCAGCCTCCCAGGCTCTGCGACCCTCCCCCTGGAAGCCATGAACATTGGTGTCGCGAAGGCTTTCTCTGCACCCTCCCAACCTGTCACTCCCACTACTGTACATGTGTGTGGGAGGCTTGCTTCCCCACTAACGGACCCACCCGAATGCTGGGAAGCCCTCCTGGCCTGGGATGTGGCCACATAAGCCTTTTGCCAATGCCTCTGTGCTCACTTTGCTTGCATTCTGCATGGATGACTGCCAGTTTCCTCTGCCTCTGCTTCCCATACCACACTGGTGATGGGCACCGGGATCATTGGGGGAATTTGCAAAATGCAGATTCCTGGGACTCACACCCCAGGGATTCCAGCCACAGGGCCCTGACCTGGGGACAGAAGCCAACACCTTTATCACTCACATTTGACTTGGCCCATGCACCTGCCTTTGAGAACACTGTTCTAGACATTAAGTCGCCTCTCTAGCCCCAGCACGCCATCCTCCCTCCCACAGCTCCACAGCTCGTAAAGGCCTTGGCAGAGGGGACACCAAATAATTATCGGTTGATAATATAATGTGAGTACACTGACTCAGCGCCAGGCACGATTCCAAGTACTAAGCTTGTCTAATCCTCAGAGCCCTATGAGATAGCTGGAACACTGGCCCCATTTTATAGTTGAAGAAACCCAGATACAAAGAAAAAAAAGGTACGTCATTAACTTGTCTATGATCAAGCAAGTGAAATATTCTAACTCAGATGGCCTGGCTCCAGGACCAGCTTCTCAAACGCTACACTCCATCATCGGATGGCTGGATGACCAGTAGACGGATGAGTAAGCAGATGGACGATGGCAGGATGACCTGATGGACCCTTTAATGCAGTCCTGGACACTGCCTGCCATTCCCCAGGGGCCTAGGGCAGTGGGAGGAGTCTCAACTCTTGGTCAGCTGAGAAGAAACCTCTATCTATAGCATGCGAGATACTGTGTCCCTCTGTCCTGTGGTCACTCGCTCCCCGTACGTGCAGCAATCTGGCCCTGCGAGGTTAAGGCCGTTCCAGGAGAAGGCCTGTGGTAGACTGGATTATGATTCCCAATGCTCCCTTGCACGGCTACTTTGGAATTGTGCATCCATGCTTGTGGCCATGCGATTTTGCCAGGGCCACCCTTAAAGCAGGTCCTGGGCTAGGCTGTGTGATTGGCTTCAGTCCATGGAATATGCTCAGACGTGATGTGAGCGAAGGCTTTCAATGCGCTTGTGTGCTTGGATTTGGCTTCTCGCACCCTGTAATTTACCACAAGTAGCTGCTAACTCACCTCGGGAGAACGGACAGCGTGCAAAGCACACCTGACTCTGAACTGTGGCTGGAAGCAAGACCCCTGGTAAATCCACAGACCACAGGGGAGCTAAAGAAATGCCTGGGCAGCGAGCCACCGAGATCGGGAGCTTGGTGGCACAACACTGTCCACTAGCGGTCATTCTGCGGGGCCTCCAGTTGGGGGGCGGGGCAGGGAGACGAGAACAGTGGTACAGGAAGCTCCCGCACTCACCGGTCCTTGAAGAAGAAGATCTCCCCACGGATCTGAGCGATGCCATCGAAGACGATGTCCTGTGTGCAGATCTCAGGAGTGACAGGTCCCAGCGTAGGCGTGGGGCCGGTGCCAGCGTCCGTGCCAGCGTCGGGAGAGGCCCCTGGGGGAGGACACCTGGCCGTAGGCTCTCCCCAGCTCCAGCACTTCTCCCCACCAGAGTGAGCCCCCAGGGCTGCCCACCCAAGCCTGCTAAGGGTCATCGCCTTCTGGCCTTAGTGCGAGCCCCGCAGAAATAAAGGTGTCTGTGCTTGGAGAGAGGAGAGTGAACAGAAACCAGAACTCTCCGTGGACCTCCGCTGGGTCAGTCCTCACTCCAGCCCCGAGAGCTGGTTGCCATATGATTCCCACTTCACAGGTGAGGAAGCTGAGCCCCAGAGAAGTTGAGTCTCTTGCCCAAGGAGTCACACCCAAAGCTCTGTTCTCATGCCCACAGGGGGCCACTCGTGCGCCCAGCATGACGGCCGGCGATTTCTCAAGGGTCAGTTCCTGCACTCCCCTGCCGCCCAGCCACATGAGGACACGGACTCAGAGGGGTGAGCATCTGCTCGCTGTCTTGCAGCTGCTGAGCAGGAAGGGGCAGCACTTGAGCCCAGCGCCTCTTCCTCCAGCTCCTGGGTTCTTTCTCAAAGCCCGCGAGCCTCAAACGTCATTGGTCTGGCACAACCTGCCCCGTGTTGGCCTGGCCCGGGGACCACCAGGGTCTTTTTATATATTGCATCTATTTCTTAATGGGCTGCCATTTTAAACTTTAGCCTTACTGCAAGTGCAAGGAACAGAGTTCCCTGGTTTCAAGTATGACATTTCTATGACACGGTAAAAGCACATTTTGAAAACTAGAAACTTTCTCCCCTGCATCATTCAGGTTACTCCCCAGGCTGGAAAACTGTGCCCTGACCTTAAGCAACTCTCCTGGATTCCAGACATCGTGACCTTGGGTCAAGATCATCACCTTCCTGGGCTCTCAGCGGCAGCTTTGGCCAAGCAGCCCCCTGGAGCACTGCCCCGACGCTCCAGGAGCGAGGTCCCCCTCCACCACCCATCCTTGGCTGCAGCAGTCCCGCCCGGACAGATGGGACCTCACTGCTTCCCACGCTCGGGGCCGCCCTCCCAGGCCCTGCTCAGGGGCCTCAAGCTGAACTTTACCGTAGAGCTCTTGAATGCCCTTGATGTCGTCCTGTGACAGGCGGAAGTTCTTCGTGTAGGTGTAAATGGGCGCCATCAGGGCCCCGGGGTCCTGGGAGTGCTCCAGCCCCATGGCGTGGCCAAACTCATGGGCTGCCACGAGGAACAGGCTGTAACCTGGGGGGCGCAGCAGGGGTGGGAGGGGGAGGGAAGAGACACTGGAGTCAGGAACTGGTTCTGGCAAAAGAGACTTCCGGGGACAGCTCTGCCACGGGGTCTAGACGTTTCCTTCTCCCAAGAATTCTGGGATAGCAGATGCAGCCTGCTGCTTTCCGGTGCAATCATCCAGAGACCCCTGGCCCCTTCCCAGCGTGCGCTTCTCACATGCTACAGAGAAGAGGACGAGCAGACCGGCAACCCCCACACTGAAGGCCCCCCTCTTGGCGTCTCTCTGTGAAGACTGGGGGCCGGGACTGCTGCACGGGGTCTGCCAAGAAGAGGCTGGGAGAGTGGAGAGAGGCCGCCCCCGCGGCTCTGCCGAGTCCGTCCCTGGGCAAGCCGTCAAAGCTCTCCCAGATGGAGCGGCCGCCTCTCAGCTGCGGGCTCAGCCAGTGCTCAAAGCCCGTGTCACATCCTCTTGTGGGTGGGGTTGTGGCCGCTGCAAAAGGTTAAGTTCAGATCTTCACCCTGGCTGCGTGTGAATCTGAGCTTATTTGGAAACCGGGCCTCTGCAGATGTGAGGAAGAAGGAAATTCGGAGGAGGTGCTCCTGGAGTACAGAGCACCCTATACTGAGGCCAGCACAGCCAGCGTCCTTACAGGGAGAGGGAAGAGACAGAGAGGGGGCGGGCCATGCAAGGACAGGGACAGACGTGAGGGGAGCAGCTTTCAGAGGGCACATGCCCCCCCGGCACCTTGATGTTAGACTTGTAGCCTCTTGTTTCAAGTGACCGATTTGTGGCATTGCGTCATGGCAGCCCCAGGCGACTGATACTGAACCCAGGGGAGCCGAAACCAGTCAGTGCTGGCTCGTCCACTCTGGGAGAGAAGGCCGCAGTGGAGCAGGTGAAATTATCATCCGTCCTAGCGTGTCATTTTGCAAGGGATAAGACAAACTCCTCTGGCCCACCTCTGCCGCTTGCCAAGTTCCAGCAATAAATAAATGCCACTAACATGATAAGGACCAAAGGCTGACAGACCCTGGACCAGCCCTCTCCCCCCAGGCCATCACGGACCATCAGACAGCTTTGCCCCCAGTGACCCTGGGCCCCGCAGGCTGGAGTGCACCAGTGGCCCAAGCACTCTGCCCCCAGGACTGATGGCCCCCTAGGATCATGGGCTGTCTCTGGCCGCTCTATACTGCAGCCCGAGTCCTGGAGGGCAGAGAGTTGTCCCTGCGTCCTCAGCACCCGTCACTGATAAGGACCTTAGCAAAGGATGGTGCTGATGAGGCAGGGAGGGCCACAGGAGTCTCCGGACTGGGGTGGGGGGGCAGGCCTTGGGCCACGCCCCCTTCCCTCTTCTCTGCTGCCCACCCAGTCCCTTGCAGGCTATCTCTTTATTTCAGTGGAGCTGTCTCTCGGGAGCCAGCACCACCCAGAGGCAGGGCCGGCTGTGCTGGAGCTCAGGCGTCTATGGGTAGCAGCAGCCATGCCTGGCAGGGGTGGAGGCGGAAGCGGGCGCAGGCACGGATGCCTTATCTTGGAGGCTGGGTCTCTGCTGAGATGGGCGGGGCCTAAGCAGGAAACCTATCTCTGCCCAAGTTGGGGGACGAGGGAAGGTGGTGCCTGCTTGAAACGGGACCCCAGGGAGGTCTCCAGCTCTGGCGAGCATTTCTGCCCGGTGGACAGGGCCTCATACCTTGGTCAGGGCAGAAGCCCCACTTGCGGTCATCGTCGTAGTTGGTTGAGGTCGCGCACCACATCTTGCCATCACTGCGGCCGGCGCTGGTACAGCTCTCATACTTGTTGCCCAGGAAGGTGAAGGGGAAGACACAGGGGGCGCCTTCCGAGTTCCCGCCAATAGTAGACATGGCTGTGGGGAGAGGGACACGGGGGAGGGGGCAGAAGGGTCTGAGGCCACCGCCAGGAAGCAGTGACCAAGCTACACCCAGCACTCGCTCCACCCCGGGCACTGCACCAAGTGCTTCACTCATATCCCACCCCTTCAACACCCAGTAACCCTGTGCAGGGGACAGCGACGTAACCCCATGTCCTGCATAGGGGGGACGGAGAGATGAGGATGCCTACTGGGCAGGCACCTGTGGGAAGGGTCACACCCAGGCGGGTCCCAGAGCTTCCATCACCAGCTTCCCATGGGCGGGGCAGAGGGGCCAGAGGTCAAGGAGGCGGTGCCAGGCTGATGGTGGCAACACCCTGCCCTAGATGGTGCACCTCCCCCCAGCCCAGGCAGGGTCCCGCAGAGACCAGTCTCTGTATCGGCTTCATAAAGCAGGTGCTCAGCAAATACTGGAAGAGAGGGTGGAGGGAGCGGGAGTGCTGAATGGCAAACAGAGCAGAACGCGGCAATACGGGCTGGGAAAGAGGGAGAGGACAGCCCTGGTCAGGAGGCCACAGAGCTGACATCTTGGTGTCACCTGACCTCTAACGCCCAATGTGTGTTCTGAGTTTGGCCGACGCCAGCCCAGCTCCAGGCATTCTGCCCAGCACCACTGTCACGGGAAGGGAGCCCGGCGGCGGAGGGGGGCATTTGTGTGCAGGGCCAGGCAGCAGCACCCACCAGTCTCGGGGCAGAAGCCATACTTCTTGTCGCGGTCGTAGTCCTCGGTGGTGCCGCACCAGCGGTAGCCGTCGGTGCGGCCTTCCGTGGTGCAGCTGCTGTAGGATGTGCCTTGGAAGCGGAACGGGAACTTGCAGGGCTGCCCATCGGCGTTGCCACCCATGGTGAACAGGGCTGGGTGTGGGGAGACAGGGGGAAGACGCTGTTGAGAGGGAGACGCCTGCGCGGCACAGGGCTGGCCAGCCGCCCACCTGCAGCTTCACACCCGTGAAGTCGAAGGTTAAGATATAAGAAGTCTCCGAACACTTCACGGAAAAGATATGAGAAAACTAAGTGTGGATTTCAAACATTTCTGCTCCAAGATAAACTCACCTTTTAGTTCCATTTTTCCGTGAACTTTTTGACGTGCTCTTGTATTACAACCGTCTCTACTCTTCGATAAAGAGCTACTCCTTGGAGCTCCTGCCTCCCTGGCCAGCCCAGTCCATGGACACCAGCCATGAACTGGTTAACACTTGGTACCCAAGAGACCTCCGGTTCCTGCCCCAGTCCCAAGGGCCCTGTCCATTCTGCCTGCTCGACACCTATACCGTGTGGACTGCTGAATACACTGCCTGTGGTGGGCAGGACACAAGGGTTCCTTCCCATTTCATGGACAAAGACACTGAGGCTTTGGTTCTAGGAGGCGGCTGTGGTCCCATAATTGTAAGACTTGGATGAGGATCATAACTAAAAATGATAAACCAATGGCAATCTCTCCCTCAATCCCTCTCTTATCACCCACATAAACACTCACACACTCACACATACACACATTTACACATACACACACTCACACGTACACACATACACATACATGCATACACATATTCACACATATTCACACATACACACTCACACATACACACATTTACACATACACACACATTCACACATACACACACATACATACACTTATTCACACATACACATTCACACACACATTCATACATACACACGTTCACACACATTCAAACATACACATGTTCACACACACATACACACATACACATACACACGTTCACACACACATTCACACACACATTCACACATACACATGCTCACACACATTCATACATACACATTCACACATACACACGTACACACACATTCACACATTCACACACGTACACACATACACATTCACACATACATGCACACATACACACATTCACACACACATCTACACACATACACACATTCACACAAATACATTCACACATATACACACGTTCACACACACATACACACATTCGCAGATACACATTCACACACACACGCACACATACACATACACACACATTAGCACACACACACATGAATACACACACACAGAGCTTCCCCTCCTTTCCGTCCTGAAACCCTGGGTGGCCCTGCTGCAGTCCCTGTGGGAGGCAGAGGGTGAGAGGAGAAGAGAGGGAGGGGGAGGTGATCTCCGGCCATCTTTAATCTATAATCCAGGATGCTATTCTAACCTCACCAAGATGGGGGCCAGGACCTGAGAGCTGACGAAGAGAGAGGGATTCGTCGTCTGGACTTGTCTGTCTTGGGTCCTCCTGCTCCCCCATCCCCTCATCCACCCCAAAGCTACAAAATGGTGTGTCTTTGCAACTGCCAACTAGCAAAACCACAAGTGCGTAACAAGGACCATCTGTGCACCACAGCGCCAGAGGTGACCTCACCAGCCCCCGTTAACTCCACCATGGCCAGAATGCAGCCCAGTCCCTGGCCTCTGGGGCCCCCATCTGACTGAGCCCTTCTGCATCCAAGAAACCTTGTCCTGCAATGTCAGAAACAGTGGGCCCTGGAGAAGAGGCAGAACTGAGTTCAGACACCAGGGTGGTCTCAGAGTGGGGGAAAGGCAGTGTTCACTTGGCCCGAGGCCAGCCCTCTACCTCTGTTCTCCCCTCAGTTGTATTTCTACCACCAGGGAGCCCCTCTCTCCTCTTGGACCACCCCCAGCAAGGATTGCCAGAATCAGACGCTGACTCAGCAGTCAGGAGGGCCTGAGTCACGAGAAACTCTGCCCCACGACGCAGACACGTGCATGCTGTGCGTACTTGTACCTGGCTAAAGACCAAGCCGATGGCTTATGTCCAAGACAGGGAGAAACCCTTCCCAAACTTATGAAACACAGCTGTTAGACCTTCTACTGAAAAGACACTCTGTTGCAAGCAGAGGGGCTGGCTCATGGAAGGGTTAACGGCACCTGAATCCCTACTGGGAAATGCAAGATACAGAAAATGCTTTTATTTAAAACTTTCTGACTTACTAATGGTCAATGGCTTGAACTCTTACCTAATACGAAATTTAGTTTTTGTAATAAAAGCATAAGCAGGAAGACAGTTAACAGCTATGTTTCTTTCCTTCCTTTAAGATGTTTGGTGTTTAGTTCAGGGTCAAAAAGAGATTCACAAACATGTGCAATTATCACCCAAAATACTAAGAGTCTTTATAAAGGCTCAACTGTCTGTAAGATGAGAAAGAAGGTAACACTTAGAAACAGTGTTAGATTTACTCCTATTTTCCCCGAATTTCCTGGGCTTTTGATCTAAATTCATCAAATATGATGACTAGATTAAGAAGTTACACATACTTTTTATGATTTGTGATTATGAAGTATGTCAAGGATATTTTTCAAAAGATTGAGTATGCATAATACAATTATTACTACTTTTTAAAACTTTTGCCCTTATATGGCTTCAAAATCTTTAAAAATTTTAATTCTCAAACACTGACACACACACACACAAAAATACTAAGTGAAGCCAAATGCCTGTGTGGACAGAGATGCAGACACAAGTGTGATAGAGTGAAGGGACAGAAAGACAGCTGGAGAGAAGCAGATGGCACGGTCCTGCTTCTCTCTCACACATACACACTCACGCAAGCACTCATGAGCAGAGTTGGCATCAGGACCAGGGAAGGAGCGACGGCTGACACTGGTTGGAATGCCCACGCCAGGCTGGATACCAGGATGGTATGAGTCCCACCTCCCCCTCCCATTTCAAGGTTTTCCATCCATCACCAAGTTTCTCCTCATGCCCTTGAGCCCTCAATCTTCAGAGTGGTTCTAGAGAACCACTAGCCATTTTAATAGTTCTCAATTTAATTCTAATATAGGTTAGAAAAAAATAATCATCACTTCAAACCTGTGGCTTCACAAATAGTTCTGCTAATGGTGATACATTTTAAAAATTGAATTGATTTAATAAAACTATTACATAAATAGTAGTTCTGGTGAGAGAGACAGGGATGGCTCACTTCAGGGCTATGGAGCCTTAATACGGGAAATCGAGCCACTGGTTGACTGACAGTGCCAGTCCTGGTGAGAGTAGAGCCAGGGGTATAGTGGGAAACTCAACAAGGCTTGAGGCCTGTGTAGAAAGCCTGGGGCCAGGGCAGATGCTCACCTTCATGGGGGCAGAAGCCGTACTTGCCATCCTTCTCAAAGTTGTAGGTGGTGGAGCACCAGAGGAAGCCATCGCTGCGACCGGTGTCTGTGCAGCTGGTGTACTCCTTGCCATTGAACAGGAAGGGGAACTTGCAGTACTCCCCATCCGCATTGCCATACTTCACACGGACCACTGGGGGCGACACACGGGGTGAGGGTTGGATGCTCCAGACCTTTCTCTGGACATTGGGATTCTGACTCACTGAGGTGCCTGACCTCCCTGCCCTCCCGTCTCCAGGATCCCACCGATGTAGACAGAGGTGCTCAGCACTGTCAGAGAAGCCATAGTCCTTGTTGCTAGGTGACAGGGAGACTTGCAGGGGACCGGAGAGGAGGTCTGGTGCATGTGGAGGTCCCTTTCTTACCTTGACCTTCTCCCAGGGTCCACAGCTCATCGTCATCAAAGTGGGAATCTCCCCCAACACCAGTGCCCGGAGCAAAGGCATGAGCCAGGAGCCCGTCCTTGCCGTCAAACGGGTATCCGTCTCCATGCTCTGCAATACACATTGGCTCTCAGCGCCCACACCTCCCTTTGGTGTGGAGCCCTTTAGTGCACGTAGAACATGTCCCCTTCCCCTGTACCCTGGGTTTACCCACAACAGGAAACAAAACAGGAAGTCAGGAGAGATTTGTTGACCTGGGTGTTATCAAACCATGGTCTACAATACCCTTTGAAATCCACAGGGCACCTGGTGTGCATCCCACCTTCACCCACTGTCTACACCACCATCAATGACCCCACCCATGCCCCCATGGTGCCATATGGTGTCCTTGCCACTTCCCCTCATTGTCCCTTGAGTTTACACTGGCTCCTCGCCTGGCAGCATTGCCCTCCTAACCATACCCCTACCTTCACATCATACGATCCCCAAGATCCGTAACACCAAATCCCTGTGCCTATTTTGTGACCAAGAGGTCCACACTGCCTACTCCCACGTCCACCTTATTCTCTGTGCCATGTCCTTGACCTTCCTTAATCCACCACTCGGTGTCACACACGAGCTCCCTCCATCTCCATGCCGTTGCCAGTGTGCACACCACCAAGCCACCGCCAAGCCTTCACCCCGAGTTCTAGTCCCCTGGGTCTCGGTCTACACTGTCCCATGGTCTGCTCTGTTCTGGAAGCTACAGCTCCTCAGGATGCACCACCAGCATCCAGCAGAATTTCTTGCGATGGCAGCCATAGTGTCTATGCACCAGCCTCTTGTGGCTAGCGTGACCAAGAGACTGAGTCTTCGTGTTTGCTACAAAGCATGCCTGTGTTTCAACAGTCATATTACCTATTGGCTAGCGGGCTGGACAAGACAGTGGACTGCTGACCTCAGGTCTGCACTGCTTCCAGGTTACCGCATGCCACATCCTTGCCCTCACATCCAGTCTCTGCAGCATGTTGGTCTGCCCCATCCACACCAGCTCCAGTGTCTACATCTCCCACTCTCCAAGCTAAGCTGCCTCTAGATGCCTCTCTAATCTACATGCTAACCCCCATACCAGCCCCTTGTCCGCCTACCCCAGCGGCCAAAGTTGATCATGATGTCAGCTTCTCCATCGTGGATTCGAGAAAACCGCAGCGGGGTCACGTTACTCCAGACTTGGAAGGCGCGCGCGAAGGCATCATCCACTGTTTCTGGGTCGAGGTCAGGCGTGTAGCCGATGATCCTGGAGGTGGCAGAAATGCATGTTGGCGTGTGTGCATATGTGCAAGTGTGTGCACAAGTGTGCATGCGTGTGTAGGCACATGAGGGTGCACAAGTGTGTGAATGCAAATGTGTGCATGTATGTGTGTGCATGTGTGTAAGTGTGTGTGTGTGTATGCATATTGAGCAGAGTTCACTGACACAACAGCCCTCCCACAGGGTCTTGAGTTCCAGACCAGCCAACAGGTGCAGGTCCTGTCTCAGGAGATTTATCTCCCACTTCAGGCTGGGGGAACAGGGACATAAATAGTGCATTATGGGACACACAGCCGGAACCTCATCCTTGGAATCTAGCACCAGCTGTACAGAGCAGAGCTCTCAGCCTAATTAGCAACCAATTAAAACCACTCTATAAAATAAAACATCAATTAGCAAGCCACCATCAAGTTCCCTCTGCCTGTGCCAGCCACCCAGTGACAGGCATTTATAACACTCTTGCTGTGTACCGAAGGCTACAGAAACCCTTTCCATCCATGTTCTCCCCAACCCTATGAGGAACGGCTCTGTGAGCCCCATTTTGGGGACTGCAAAGTCGACACTCAGATCACAGAGAAGTGAGAGCCCAATGCCCTGTGGCGTTCAAATGTGATATCCAAGTCCAGGTCTCACTCCGTTGGCTGAGAACTCTGCTTGAAACTTCCCCAGGTGTCAAGCTCCCCACAGGTCCCTCACAGAGCCCCCAAGACGACTGTGTGTCCCTGAGCCCCCCGGCCCTGGCTGCCCCAGCCCTGCCCTGGCACCTGTATGTGATCTGATTCTTGTCCCACTTGGGCTTGCGGGGGAAGAAGTTATAGTTGGCCACATCCGGGTTGCCGCAGCGCGGCTTCCGCATGGTCTCGATGGTGCTCTGGTCCAGTTCACCTGTCTGGGGCAGCCCGAAGAACTTCTGCATCTTCTTGAGGGTGTCCTTCAGCACGAACAGGTTGCAACTGTCCTTGGGACAGCCGTAGAAGGTGTTCAGGTATTGCTGGAAGAAACAAGCACCCCAGGGCAAGGAGTTATGTTAGGATAGTTCAGCAGTGACCGTGGCAGGGAGCACCCACCCTCGGGGGACAGACAGGACCTAATCCAGGGCTCTCAGAGCTCTGGGGGCAGTCCTCAGTTCTCAGACCAGCTCCTCACCCACTAGCTGAAGAACAGCTCTAGAGGGCACAGCTAAGACCTGGCATTGCTGGGCGCTCATGACGGGCCCTGGCATCCGCGTTGTGAACTCACTCAATGCTCACAGCAACTCCATACTGTAGACCCTTCCTCTACCTCCACCATCTCATTTACTCACCTAACAGAGACTTAGGGACATGTCCCTCCTTTCTCAGAAAAAAGGAAAAAGATTTATTTTTATTTATTTGAAAGACACAGTAATGGAAGGGGGGGGGGAGAGAAAGAGAGAGAGGGAGAGAGAGATCTTCCATCCACTGATTCACTCCCCAAATGGTCACATTGGCTGAGCCTGGGCCAGGCCAAAGCCAGGAGCCCAGAACTCCATCCCAGGCTCCCACATGGGTGGCAGGAGCCCAAGCATTTGGGCCATCTTTCACAGCTTTCCCAGGTGCATTAGCAGGGAGCTGGATCAGAAGTGGAGCAGCTGGGACTTCAATTAGTGCTCTGACATGGGACGCCAGGGTCGAAGCTTAACCCTCTATGCTACAATGCTGGCCCCTGTTTCTTATAAAGAGATCAAGGGCCATGTGCATGGATGGGCTCTGGTAGCAGACAGAACTGGGTTCAAATCCTGGAATGCCATTGCCAAAAAGAAAACAGTCTTGTCTTTCAGGGATCTGCCCAGACGGAGGCCACAACCAGAGCCTGTGGAGGTTCAGGGACCCTCCAACTCACTGCTTAATTCAATGCATCCTTTTTTAAAAGGACTTATTTATTTATTTGAAAATCACAGTTACTGAGAGCAAGGGAAAGACACAGAAAGATCTTCCATCCACTGGTTCACTCCCCAGACAGACAGAATGTCTGGGGCTGAGCCAGGCTGCAGCCAGGAGCCAAGAGCTTTATCCAGGTCTCCCATGTGGGTGCAGGCTTCTGCTGCTTTTCCCAGGCCATTAGCAGGGAGTTGGATGGGAAGTGGAGCAGTCAGGACACAAACCGGCGCCCGTATGGGATGTCAGCATTGCAGGCGGCGGCTTTACCTGCTTTGCCACAGTGCCAGCTCTTCTGCGAATGCTTTTTGACACCTATCACATGCCAAGTTCTGTGCTACAGTTGGGAATAAACTGATGTACTAGACAGAACTTTCTAGACTCTGTGGTTCAAATCCCAAGGCAGGGGATCTGATGGTCGGAGATCAATGCAAAAGTTACTGTGGTAAGTGCTGTACTGGAGTGGCAAAAGGAGCCAGGAGGTCTGATGACAATGGCCCTGATCTTACTGGGCGTGGTCAGGAGGGCACAACAATGACTTAATTGTAATAGTGGCTAGTGCTTATTGAGGCCCAACCACAGTCCAGCAGTGGAGACGGCCTCTCCTGTGCCTGCAGATGAGGAAACTGAGATTACCAGGCCAGTTGGTCCCTACACAACCTGAAGCCAGGGGGTCTTAATTCCACGCCCCCTCCCCAAGCAATGCCTCGGGCAATATGGACACCTAGACTGCAGAGGGTGACTCCAGCAGCTACATCCACTCCAGCTTACAGCCGCTTAAAAAAAAAATGTAGCTCCCTAAGGAAGTCCCCCAGTCCATCCACCCAGAGGAGGGTGCAGTTGCTGGGGGAGCAGGGAAGGGCTGGTGTCACACCCCCATCCCGAAGGAAGCAGTTTCCATGGCGACAAGAGGACACCGGTCTCCTGTGAGGCACAGATTGGGAGGCGCAGGACGCACGGAAGGTAGGCTTTCAGCATGGCCGAGGCAGCAGGGACTCAGATACTCTGTCAGCTGGAGAGAACATCTCCAGGGGTCCGCGACCTGGGCTGCTCACAGGGACAAGGGCAATGCCTGGCCTCCCGGCTCCGCTTATGCAACGCGGTGGCCAGGGAGCCCCCGGAGCCAGGCGCGCGCGCTCGCAAAACAACATCGGAGCCGCAGCTCGGGAGCCGGGCCAGGAGGGAGGGCTCGCTGGCCGCTCTCCGACCCGAGCGGGGCTCCATCCGCCCCCGCCCCACGCGCCGGGGCCTCTGGCGCCCGCCCCTCCCTCCGCCCGCCTGGTCAGGGCTCTCCGTCCTCCGACCCCTTGGAGCAGTTCGAGGAAACTTTCCGAGCCCCAGGCCTGGCCCCTTCTGGCCAAGGTGTCCGTGAAGCCTGGCGACAAAGATGCGCCCAAACGCCGGATTCCTGGCGGAGCGGTCCCCTCGAGCTGTCTGGCTAAGGCCCCTTTCCAGACGGGTGCCAGCCGCTCCCAGAAGCATGCCAAGCCCGTCTTTGGCTATCCTCACGTGTGCAAAAGTTTACCCGAACTGTCTGCCAAAGGCGCCCCTTTCCAAAAAAGGTCCCCGTTGGCAAAAGAAACACCTTTAGTTGCTTGTCGCAGGCCTACGGTGACGCTTGCGTCTCAAAGCCGATTAAAAGCCCGCCCCACCCCCCTCCCCGGCCACCCCCGCCCCAAACTACAAGACAAAGTCCCCCTTATTCGCAAAGCGAGCCCTTCACCGCCGTTTCTCGCCCCCATGCGTCCTGGCGGTTGCCAAGTCGCTGATCAAAGCCGCCCCAGGGTTTGCAAAACAGATCTCCGCAATCGCTTGCCAAGGACCCCCCAAGCTGCGTGCCGGCCCCTCCCCCACGCCGCGTGCCCAGTCCGGGGAGGGGGGGCGGGGGCGGCCCCCATCCTCCGTTTCGGAAAGTTCGACTCAACTTGGCTCCTCGAGGCCAGCGCCGCAACTCACCACCGCCAGCTCTTTGTCCGTTTTGGGGGCGACATCGCCGGGGAATTTGATGACGGGAGACGGCGGGGCGGTGGCGCGGCCCAGCAGGCAGCCCAGGACGCAGAGCGCCCGCAGGAAGCCGGCGAGCGCGCCCCGGGCCCCTAGCGCCTCCATCGCTGCGCTCCCGGGCCCCCGCGTCGAGCGGGGGTCGCTGGCTCCGGGACGGGCGGCCGCGTAGCCGCCTGGCTGGCGCCGGCTTCGCAGCACAACGCTGCGTGCGGGGGGTCCGCGGGCTCGATCGCCTAGACTGTGCCAGGCTCAGCGGCTCATGGTCCGGCTCCGCGTCCCAGCCCGCGCCGCTGCCGCCTGCTCTCGCAGGTCCCGGCGATCCCTTTGTATATTTAAAGCCCAGATGCGTAGCCTCCAGGCACCGCCGGAGGAAGTCTGGATGCGGCGGAAACAGGGCGGGCAGCCGCCAGATGTGGCCGGCTGGGCTGGGAGGGCGCTGGCAGCCCGGGGCGGGGGGAGGGGGCGCACTCGGGCCCGCCCCTCTCCGCCCCACCCCCCACTCGCCGCCCTCCTCTTTTTTCCTTTCTCCACCCCTTTCCCCCGCCGCAGCTGGCTCCACCAGGCCTGGGCGACCACCTTCGGGGCGCGACCTCTCTCCTGACTCCAGGCGTGCAGCCCGAGGACCCCCCGCTGGCGAACATCTGGCGCCGCCGTCGCGCGAGGCCCCGGAGCTCCTGAGTTTGGAGAGCAGCTGTGCTTGGAGCGGTGCGGGAGCCCCAGGCCCGGGGGGCGTGGGTCAGAGGTGGGAAGGGGTGATGAGAAACGGATTTCAGATGTTTGGAGCTGGAGAGCGAGAACGCACTGCCATGGAAAGAGATGGAAACAGTTGGAGAGGAGACCTCCGGCTCCCTCCTCCCTCCCCCACGTCTCTCTTCTCTCCTTTGTAGGATTTGGGAGGCTTGCTTGACCTCAGACACCGTGCTGGGTTCACCATGGGCAGCATGCAGTCAGGGTCCCTGTCCCCAGGAAGAAACGCCCCCTCCCTCGTTATCAGCCAAACCTGATGCTCTGCTCCTGAGGCCAGCAGACCAAACAGGGACCCCAGGGGATGGTGGGAGAAAGCTGGCGCTCATCCTGCTAGGCTCCTGGCTGGGGCTCCAAGTGCCAGACCCCCCAACAGGCTGGCAGGCCAGGGCTTCCAAAGGTGAAAATATGGGTCAGGGTCACAGGTCACAGGTTACAGGGTCTGCAGATGGTCCTTTCTCCGCTCCGCAGGTGGTGAGCTGAGCTGGAGAGAGTTTGGAGTCTCAAGGGGCCATCTTCAGGTTCCAACCAGTCAGGGCCATGTGCCTGGCGTCAGATTTACACGTGAGCAGGAAGGGGGCCAAGTGTGGGTCCCGTGACTCTGATTCATGGCTGAGGGTGTCGTTCAGGTTAGCTCAGCTCCAGCCCAGCCCGCATTATCTTTGTGCACACACGCACTGTCTCAGTATTTACCGCCTCTTTCAATCCACACTCTTCGTGCATGGTTGAGGGAAAAACTTCAGGGGAAAAAGGGTGTGCGTGTGTGTGTGTGCATGCGCATGTGCATTGTGCGTGTGTGTGGGTGTGGGTGGGTGTGTGTGCACGTGTGTGTGCATGCATGTGCTTGTGTGTGTGTTCACTGGCTCAGGAAGGATAATTAAATATGGGAAAACTGTGATGGGCGACTCGGGAGGGCTTCCTGGAAGTGACTTCCCAGCTGAGACCTGAAGAGCTAAAGGGGTGAGTGCTGTGTGGGTGGTTGGGGGGGGTGGGGTTCAAGCAGGGGAGCCACACAAAGGCCTAGACGCAAGGATGTCCCCTGGGCCTGAGTAGAGTGGGGCTGGAAGGGTCGGCAGGGGTCAAGGTCATGGGCAGGAAGAGTGAGGAGCAAGCTGCCCATGGACATCATCACAGTGATGCATCTGGACTTGATCAGGGGTGCCTGGAAAAGCGTCTGCCACATGGGGTCTCTGCGCTTCGGACATGCACAGGCTTGCCTGGGCCAGCTGGACGCCTCCTCCAGGGAGAACCTGGCCCCGGGGGAGGGAGTAGCCCCAGGGGGACGCCTCAGCCATTTTGGGGAGGGCAGGCCTGAGGTCAGCTGGGGGAGGGGCTGCCTGCTGGCCGAGGCCCCTTTGGCTGGAGCCCAGGTCCTGTGGATAGTGAGAGCCAAGCTGGAGCGCCGAGAGCCAGGAGAGAGAATGGAAAAACTTGTCTCAGTCAAGCAGGGGTTGCAAACGCGTGGCCTGCGGGCTGATTCCGGCCTGAACAGCATTTTGAAATTTAGGAAACTTCAAGTAAAAATCCGACTTTCTGGTTTTCTTTGAGACATTCCAGAAGCTCTGGCGAGCCGGGGGCCAGTTTGGGCAGCACACAGCTGAAGCTGAGCAGTGGCTGCGCCCGGCGGGTGAGGCGTGTGCTTTGTCTTGCCACAGTCCTCACCACTCTCTATTGCCTTGGATGGAACTCACTTCACTCACTTCCGCTTGTTTCCATTGCTTGCCCAGCTTGGGTGTTAACCTCTCCTGGAAAGCCTTAGTAAGATCTTGGGGTCCAAGCAGCATAGCTTTGGGACTCCTCTGGCAGAGGGGAGCTTTGCTGCTCCTCTTCACTGCCATTGTCGTTGCGGGCATTCCAAAGTCACTGGCATCTATGGTAGGTGCTTGAGGCCTGTCTGGAGACAGGAACAGCTGCAGCGAGAGGGCGGCTTCTGTGCGCAGCATAGCTGCGGCAGGGTCAGCTGTAGCTCTAGCGACAATGCGTTCATGGGTGAGGCACAGCTCCAGGCTCCTGTGCACATCTCAGATCGCCCTGCCCCTGCCTGGGTGAGCAATCCCCAGCGTCCCGGGTTGACCTGGCAAAGCCACGGGATGAAGGCCAGGAGACCCTCTGCTGATTCTCAAGTGGAAACCAGACCCTCTCGTCATCCGCCACTGAGAGCTGGGGACACACCTCACCATCTTCCGGCCAGGCCCAATAGACGTGTTCAAGGGCTGTAGAGTGGCCACTTGTGCCCCCATGGAGGCAGAGGTGGGAGTGACCCGGCTCCAAGGCACCAGAGGCCAGAGCGGGCAAGGCAGGACGCTTCCCCCCGAGGCTCCAGAGGGGGCACGCCCTGCAGCCACGTGGCTTTGGACTTGCAGCTTCCGGAACGATGAGACATTGGCTTCCTGTGATTCTGAGCCGCTCAGTGGTGGTGCGTGGCGCTGTGTTAGGGCAGAGCTGCGAGATCACACAGGCTGCGGCTGGAGGGGATCGTGGTGTGGCGAGCGTTTGCTCAGGAAAGCTGCGGTGAACTCCAGGAACAGCAGCCTGGAGATGGGGTTTGTGTTGGAGAAGAGACAGAAGCGACATGCTAGACGCCGTGGGTGAGAAGACAGGGCCGCCCGTGCCAGCCCAAGCCCCCAGCTTCCTGCTTTCAACAGGTGCCCTCAGTTTTCTTCTTGGGACTCGTTTTCATCCAGCTCTAGGTCTGGGGTCTATGGATGCGGCCTCCCTCCCGGCTGCACAGTGGCCATGCGACCCCAGCCTGGCGGGGCCGGGACACTTGGGGCAGCAGCAGCCCGAGAGGGGTTTGTGAGCTCCCTGGAGCCAGGAGCCCCACCCCGGGGAGCAGGCTCGTGGCAGGTGCACGGGCCGGGCCAGCACTTAGACATTCAGCTGTAAACAGAGCTGATGGGACGTAAGGGGGGGTACCCCTGAGAGACAGTGGCCCCTGGAGCCTGCAGCCATGGCAAAGCCAGCAGAGCCCAGAATCCAGCCCTGCCTGGTGCAGGGGCGGGAGGGAGGAGGGCCCAAGGCCTGCCGTTACCCTGGCTGTGCACACTCATGCATCAGCCAACACCACCCCCTTCTGTGCCAACCCAGCACTGCCTCGAGCTCCACTTCCCATCATGCACCAGACACCGTAACACCAATAGAGATCACGGCATACCCCAGAGCCCCGCCCCTAACTCCATCTCCTTTGAATATCCAATTAGGTCCTGCCTTGATCATCACCCCAAATCTTTTTTTTTTAAATATACACTTTCCTAGTGACTCATGATGTTGAATGTCTTTTTTTTTAAAGATTTACTTATTTGTTCAAAAGTCAGAGTTTATTACTTATTTATTCAAAAGATAGAGCCGGGGTTGGGGGAGGATCTTTCATCCGCTGGTTCACTCCCCAGATGGCTGCAATGGCCAGAGCTGGGCCAATCTGAAGCCAGGAGCCAGGAGCTTCTTCCGGGCCTCTCATGCAGGTGCAGGGGCCCAAGCACTTCACCATCTTCCACTGCTTTCCCATGCCATAGCAGGGACCTGGATCAGAAGTGGAGCAGCCAGGACTTGAATCGGTGCCCACGTAGGATGCCGGCATCCACGCAATGGCTTTACCTGCTCTGCCACCCCGTGGCCCCACACCCCAAATCCTATCGGAGCCCTGAGGGTGCCCGCACTCCCGCCTGGGTGTGTACTATCTGTTGCGTTTCCATCAGTCTTGCCTTCCTAGCCCCCTTTCCCTGTGTCTCCTTGAATTCTTTCGCCTGTGGAGGCAGGAGCCTGGACTGAGCCAGCCCAGGGGTCTCTCTCCCCTCTGCGACACACCCACAGCCAGATGTGTCTTGAATGTTCCAACTTGGGGACCCGTAACTGCCCTCCTGGAGCCCGGAGTTCAGTTTCCTTTTGTTCTGGCTTCGATCTGTTTGCATCTGTAGCCTACAAGGCACCCACAGCAAGAGGTACCTGTTGAGAGGCCGGGGCCAGTGAGACCCTCGGCCTGGGGTCCCTGCCCTCTTGGTCTTGTCTCCGCCTCCCTGTCCCATGGGCCCAGGAGTGTCTGGGGACTCACAGCACTTGAGGAGCGGAGGCGGGGCTCTGGCCGGGGCCCAGGGCACCCCAGGCAGCCGCGGGGTCCTTGCAGGGTGCCCCGTGCCCCAGCCCTGGCTCAAGCCCGTGGATTGGTCCATGCAGAGGCTCCGAAGGCCCAACCCCTCCTTGCCCAGCCCGGAGCAGATGGCTGCGTGGATAAGCCCGAGTGCAGCACAGCTTACTGAGAAGGGGATTAATCCAGGGTGTGTGGGTGCGGGGCCCCAGAAGCCGAGAGGTAGCTGGCAGGCTCCTGGGCCTGGAGTCGCGGGGCTGGCAGGGGGTCTGCAGGTCCC